TGGAGGAAAGCCGCTGAGACATCAGTGGCGGCCGCGGTCCATCCAAGACTGGACGCCAGTGCCAACGCGAGGCGGAGCGCCTCGACCGAGGCGCCAGCTGCGTACAAATCTTGTCCATTCAAGGACTGAGTGGCCAGGTTGCCACATATCACAATCCTGGCTTTGCGTTTCCAGCGCGCCCCCTTTGACTTCTTCTCAGCTTTGGTCTCAGGCGCTGGAGGCTTGACCGTAAACGCAACTTTGCCAGGAATGAGAATCAGCGACCCATCATTCACAAGCTTCTTCGCATCTGCCATGGGCCGGTGCTCAATCGCGTTCGTCTTCGCCTCCAGGTTCGCAAGCTCCTTGCTCATGGGCTCAATCCATTCATCAAGATTGGCCTTCACCTGGTCCAGAGGAACGTCCAAGGTGACATCCAAGTCCTTCTTGAGGTTGGTCAGGTACTCCTCCATGTCGCCGATCTCCTTATCGTCCGTGACATTGGCCACCTTGAGGTACAAGTCATTGCACCTTTCCTCCACTGAACGGACCTGTTCCTCCACATCCTTGATCAGCTCCCTGAACACCACGTTGATCTCCTTGATCTCATCCCGAATGGTCTCACCAACAGTGTTGAACTCCTCAGCCAGGATTTCCTCCTCAGCCAGAAACTGTTGAAGCCATTCACGTCGTTCTTGAAGCCTCCCAAGCACATCATCCTGCAACTGTTGCAGCTCCTGACTGATCTCCTGGGCCCTCTCTGGCCGTTCTTCACTGGTGTTCTTCATCTGGAACATAACAGCTTCAGGGTATTCCCTTGGTTCAGACAGGTTCATCATCTTGAGGATGTTCCGTTGCAGTTGCTCTGGGACTTGTGGTGGTAGAAAAGGTGGATTGAAACCATACTCAAGAAGTTTCGCGTTGGCTGGGGGCTTCAATCTGGTAGATCTTGGTGTGAAAGACGTCATAACCAACCGCCTTCCCCCCCAATCCTCGGTTTGATGAAACCTCCGGGGGTTGATCTTGATGGGAACTCCAGGCTGGAGGTCATTCACCCTTCCACGACGCCAATCTCCCTTGGGTAGTTGCCGCCATTCGTCCTCCACATCATAGTCCTCGGGCTCAGACTCCACCCATACTCCACCTCCACGCTCGCAAGGTAGTAGAGGAGGAAGTAGCACGTTGTCGCGGTTGGCGTGGTTGTGGACATCCCGATGTATCTTCATCCCCACGTCCTCGGTCATCAAGATTGTCCCTTTCCCCAGTGAGATGGGAGAACGCCTTCACCAGGTACATGGTGGTCCAAGGGAAGCGATCGGTGTCCAAGGTGGCCCCACATTGCCCTCCATGGGTATACTGCCCGATCAACCATTGGAGCCCTTCACCTTGAGTTGACCTTGTAGTAGATCTCGCGTAGGGTTTCAGGAGCTCCCAAATCGCAACCACGCTCCCCAAGTCATAGCACTCAGAGTCCATGAGCTCCTTCGCCTTGCGGTCAACCTCCTCCTTCGGTTCGGCGTCCAGTAGAGCTAGTCGGGACTTCCCCCGAATCCTCTGCACTGGATCTTCGACCTCCATCTCGAAGGGCCCTTGCTCGACCAGGTCGTCGGAGTCCACGAGATACGGCTTGATATGCACCGACGTCGTGTAGCTCCCATCATCATGGCGGACCACTCTGCCTCCGCGGACGCCCGACGAATACCCAACGAACTTGCCAGAGCGCCAACGTTCAGCGAGGTCATACCTTCCGCCCTCTCCGAACCTCTTGTGTTTCACGTGCACTGGCGCCCCAAACGGCACTGCTTCATCAGCTCGGTCTCCGAGAGCTAAGTCTCGCTGTCTCTTGGCAGAGAACTGCGCAACAAGCGGCCAGCACGACATAGGCAAGGAGGCTGCGCGGAGCAGAGTTTTGACACGGCCCTTGATGATTCGGACCAGTGCCTCCGCTCGGCCGTTCTGTTGAGGCTGCTGACTCTCCCCGCTCGTTGCCAAGATGTCCCGGTCGGCCATCCATGCCCTGGTCTCCTTGGCCATGAGTTCTCTGCCCCGGTCGCTGTGGATCCGAACCAGGTGAAGCCCTTGTTGTCGAAGTTGAAGATAGATCTGTTGAATCCGAGATCTGACCTCCTTAGCTGTCCGGGTCTTCATCGGCGCCACAAAGTGGAGGGTCTGGTAATCGATCTCGTCGCCGATGTCCTTGTACTGGGCCTTGAACCGTTCATTCATGGCCTTCTGCTCATCATCGTCCTCCTCCTCAACAGGTACCGCAGCCCTCTCGTCCTCGAACGGGTGAATGTCGGCCTCGATCTCCCCATCCTCCTCCTCAGGAGGGTCCTCGTCCTTGTCGGGGTTGATTCGCGGGTGGGAGTACGCTCCCACGAGTAGATAACGTAGGCCCTTTTCATCAGCATTCTCGCCCTTTGTGCGGAAAGGGCCCGCGATGTCCATGCCCAAGTGTAGGCCGACAGCGCCAAGCATCTCCTGTGCGCTCTCCCAGTAGCTGCCGCCCGAACGCAAGTCTGGCATCTTCGGTCGTAGGGTACATGCCCGCTTCAGTAGGCCAAGTCCTTCGCGTTCATTTCCTTGGGGCCACCGAGCTTGCGCATCATCACCGAAGCTTTGGAAAGTCCAGGGATCCTTTCAGCAGCTCTGGGTCGTGCCCTTCCTTCTTCAAGTGCAGCTGCTGTAGCTGCTGGATCCCCTGGGCCAACAAGTCCATCGGAGCAACAGAGCTCCTCTCATCTTCTCGGCCACCACGACTGCCTCCTTAACCTCCGCCGGGCACTCTATCGGGCTTTCCCGCGGCATTCTCGTAGCCGCCACCAGACGTTCGCGCCGCCGCCGGACTCAGAGACCTAGCCGCAGCCGCCTCCATCCTTGGTCCATTTCCCAGATCCCCTGCCCGTCCCCGAACTGGAACAGGTAGGCCAGGTGGAGCCCGTAGGTCACGGCCTGCGTGTGCTCCTTCGGCATGAAGATCCCCTTGCCCAACAGACCTGTCCCATGCCGCTGGACCAGGCTCTACCCCCACACTCGTAGAGGCGCCAGGTCTCCCACCTGCAGAAGGGACGTGATCCATTCCAGCTCTCTCCGAACCCGCTTCGATCATCGCCATCAAAAGTTGCTTCAGCTCTCTGCCTGAAGCTCATTCATCTTCCCATCTCTACTCTGTAGTGCAACCTGGACCGCCTTCTTGACCTCTTCCTGTACCACTTCCGGCTGCAAAGATCCATTCGAAGATTGATCTCCAGGAGAAAGGCCATGGTCCTTGGCTGCATTTCAGTCATACGTGGGAGCTCGGGGTTGTTGAAAGAAGGTGTTGCCAACGACCAGGTAGGAGACTGGGAGTACCATGAGGTAGGTGAGGCTGAAGGCAGGGGCTTCATACGTCCAAGCATAGGCTTCAACCCCCTCTGAACCATTCCCTTCATCCTTGTAAACCACAACAGGTCCCCCGTGCGCTCCGTCACCTCGCTGGTTTCAACCCTGGCTGTCGTCTCCAGGACCTCTGCGTCATCTTCGGCGATCACCCTGGAGGCCCGAGCATGCAAAACAGTCACCAAAGCATGTCGCTGTTCGGCCAGTTGGGCATGGGCTCTTTGCTGCAGAACATCTTGCCGCACATCACCATTCCCATGCCCTCGAACACTGGGCTCACGAACATCCGCAGCCGCAGGCAAACTAGTAGAGGTCGTAGGTCGTAGGTTGCTCTGCTTGAAACTGCTGCCGCATTGTTGGCTGCTGCATTGTTGGCTGCTGCATTGCTGGATGCTGCATTGGTGCTGCTGCCGGCTGGTTCGGTGGTGTTCCGATGCTGCTGGGTTGCCGTTGTTGACCTGGCCTGCTTAAACCCAGAGCCTCACCCTGAAACCTCCGTCCGTTCGCGCCAGATCCGGTTTCCGAGTTCGCGCCCGTTCCGGTGTCCCCATTCGGTACCGCACCTGTAGTCGCCGCCACATCTGTCCCGACTGCACTCCTGGCAGTCGTCCCAGCATTAGCATTCAGCTCAACCACAGGTCGCGTAGATGAGGAAGGGGCATCGGCACCATCCGATTCCACGGTCCGCGAGCCCGTCGTACCAGGTCTGCCTTCAGGAGGATGTGGCAACTGGCTACCTTCAAAAGGGCCACCAGTCGCCACACCATTCAACAGGACCTGGCCTTCGGCCATAGCTCGATTCATCGCTGCTCCACCATCCAGTGTCATAAGGCGGGCTCCACCCGCTTCCACTCCACCGTAGGTCCGCGCAGCTTGTGCCAGGAGGCCTTGCCCTGTACCACTTTGCGTGGATTGGGCGCTCATAACCTGTGGAGCATCGTGTTCCGGGAGCTGAGAATACATGAAGTAAACTCTTGATCTTGATCAGGAGGAACAGAGCTCAGGCAACCATGGCTTCGAATTGTCACTTTGTTTTTTACACAAGCAAACCTGTCAAGCCGTGCTTCATGTTAAAGCTGGCTTCTGCCGATCATGGTACTTCAAACTGTCTTTACATGTTGTGAGCAATTGCGCTCCTGTTCTGACATGCGAGTCTACCCATCGGGTGTACAGCTGTATGAGGACAGGCATGTCTGACTCAAGTTCTCACGCTGAAGTCTTGGGCACTCTGTGCCTGCTGCAACAAAGAGTCGCATACATGGATGGACGCAAGACCATTTCATCAGATTCCTACTCTTTTGCTTGACTTGCAGTACGCTGTATAGGACAGTAGAAAGTAGGTGCTGGTCTGTAGTCCAAGACCCGATTCTGGTTATGCGGGAGCCTTGAGCTCGAACCCGACAAGCGAGCTACAATTGTAGACTGCGGACCCAAGCTTTTTAGGCCGCATTCCACAGGAGGCAGGCACCGTAAAGGCCAGGGCCCAGGAACCCACACGCAGTCGCCCGCAACGGCCAGCAAATTCAGCCTGACGTCAAGACGGGAATACTCGAAGGGAGAGTGCCGCTTTGGCAATCAAATTAGCTGGGTTGCACCAACTTTTTCGGAAAGTAAACATTTGCGAAAGACAAAGAGCCTTGTAGGAGGAGGACATCTGTGTCGGCACGCCCATGGCCTGTCGCACCACCGCCGAATCTGAAGCGACTGTCGGTTACTTCGCAAATCCTGTTTGCATCCGGGCCATCGTGTCGAACACTTACGAAAAGCTGCTTTGCGATGTGGCCAGGGATGTGACAGATTCCCTTCAGCATCAACGAGTGGCGCTTGGCCATGTTTGCGATGACTTGGGCTTGGATTTGCGCGCGCTGCTCCAGCCCCTGTTTGTCTTCCAGACATGCCCGGGTGAGTTATATCAATCTCGACTTCCATCCTTTTTCATGGGCCACGAAGGATCTGAGATTTCATTGGGTCCTTTGCGCTTGGAGTCCATCGGGTTTGGCCAAAAATTCGCGCAGTTCGACTTGGCATTGGTAGTGGCACATGGTCCTCGGGGTGATCTCATCGGCAGCTTCCAGTACAGCACCACTTCGTACACACGAGATGCGGTACTTCGGCTGCAGGCTCAATACCTGACTATCTTGCAGTCTATGGCGAAGGATCCTTCCCAAGATGTTGGCCAAGTTCCATTGTTCTTGGATGAGGATCTCGAATCTTTGCTGAGCTGGCGTTCTTGGCAGCCCAGACTGTCGTTTGATGCCTGTTTGATTGCAGGATCTCGCAGAGCTGCGTCGACGTGTCACAAGCCCATGGCTCCAGGACCTTCCATGGGCCTTCAAAGGTTTCATCGGTTTGCGATTTCCAAGAGTCAGGAGCGTGTGCGGTTCAGGATCTTCCCAACGACTCCTTGCCACGACTGGTGGCATCGCGCGCTGCAGAGAACCCCAGCGCCTTCGCGGTTGTGAGCCCGCAAGGGACCTACACCTTCGGCGAGGTCTTGCGCCGGGCACAGCTCTTGGCAACGGCTCTACTCGAGGAAGCGTCCTTCGGCGCGAGCTCGAGTTCGGAGCGGCAAAGGCAGGGTAGTTGGCAGGGCCGGCCAGACCGTTCCGAGGGCTGTTCCGGCGGCCGGGAGCTTTCGGGCCTCCTTAGCTGCCGTGTTCCCTTGGTAGAGGAGGCCGAGGCGGCTGAGGGCTCTCTCTCTCTCAGCTCCGTGCAAGATGGCAACGGTTCTAACTTCTTAGTCGGTTTGATGGTGAGCCCTGGACTTTGGATGGTGGCGGGCCCACTGGGCTGCTGGATGGCTGGACGGGGCTACTTCGCTTTGGACTCCTCGCACCCGACGGAGCGCATCCAGCAAATGACCCAGGATGCCTGGAGCCCAAGCATCCTTATCGCTTGCAGTGTCAGTGGTGTGTTGTCACACGTGTTCGAGGCGCACCCCCAGTGCATCCTTTGCGAGCGCCGCGCGCAGTCCGTGGCCAACTCCTTAGGCTGGCCCGTCCTGGTGATCGAGGATCCCAGCCTCGAAGCTTCAGCCTTTGATGAGAGTCTGCCTCTGCAGGAGCTGCAGAGCAGGCGACCCCGGGCGGCTCCGCGTCGAAGAGCTCCACTCCCAAGCTTTCAAGCCTGCAAGGCGCAGCGAGCCCGGTACCTTGTGGCCCTACTTGGAAGGCGACGGCCAGGCACTTCTCGTTTTCACCAGTGCGGGCCTTTTATCTGCCATCTTCAGGGTGTTCCGTGCCTGCGGACTGAGGCGGCTCGACTGGTCGTCCTAAAGGCCCTTTGCTCAGAGGAGACCAACCGGTCCAATGCTCTAAGCCTCGAAGCGGCTCGAAGCGGCTCGAAGCGGCTCGAAGCGTTTGAAGCAGGTGTTTTGCTCTCCATGCGGGCCGTGCTTGCCCACGTCTTGTTCAGTAGCCAACACTTCGGCTTCAAAGCAGGGCAGGCAGGGCAGGTCTGGCTCAAGATTTTACTCATCTCTGCCTCTGCGTCTTGATGCAGGCGACGCTGCAGCACACGTCATGGACTTTCGATGCGTGCTGCCCTCGTCTCGCAGTCTCGCGTGGCACTTGAACTAAACTCCCGAGAACTCCGTCCAGGCCGATCTGCGAGATCTGGCCGGCACTAGTGTCCGGGGCAACGGTCGTGATCAGCAAGAGGGATGGCTCGAAGGCAGCGGGTCAACTGTGCCGGTGACACTTGTGAGTCGATGAGTCGATGAGGACTTTCAGTATCTCGCTTCCCTGGTTGATGAGCAGCGGGTCAGCTGGGCTCTGTGAGATGCGTGCACCTGTCACTGCTTTTCACACTGCTTTTGCTCCAAGGCCACGCTCTCTTCGTACCCTCTTTGCTGGCGGAAGCTATGCTGTGTATGGGGTACGGGCGGGGGCCCGGGCCCTGTGGGGGCGCTTGCGGCTCTAAGGAGATTTTGGAGCACCAGGCGCTGCCGCGAAGCCTGCGATCCCTCGTCGTGGTGGGCGAGGAAGATCGCAGATCGCTCAGAGGCTCCCAGAGGGTCCTCGTCTTCTTTGCTCGAGGCCTGCTCTTTGAGCCTGGCGCGACGGATCTTGGAGGCCCCTACCCCCAGCACTGTAGCACAGCGCAGCCTTTCTCAGCCGGAGGCGCCACTCTCTTTGAACAACTTCTACGGTCCTTCGGAAGCCGGCATCGGGGCCACCATCTACGAGGAGATCTAGAGCATCAACCAGCATCAAGTAGCCGACGAGCTCATTAGTCCTTGCCACATCGCAATCCATCATCGCGCAGGTGGACAAGATTGGTGCGGTCCCAAACCATGTGCGGAGCCCCGATGACCCGCTCATCATCCCTGCCGCACAGCGCTGCACGCTGCATAGCAACTCTGTCCAGGTGCAAAGCCTGCCAATCGGACGGCCTGTCTCCTGGCACCAGGTGCCATGCAGTACCATGCAGTGGCTTTTGAAGCATGGCAAATGTCTGCAAGTGAGCTGTCTAAGGTTTCTGGCTCCCAGTTTTCAGGTATTGTAGCTCTGTCATGGAGTCCGAGAAGAGCCGAGATCTCTGGTCGCAGGAGACGTACCAGTCCAACTATCGCCTAGCATATTGTCACTCGATCGAGGATTTTCCCGATCGTGTCCAGAAGGCCAACGCCGCGCGCTTGCTGCTGAAGAGTGCTGGCGACCCTGGCGCGAAACTTCACTTCGGCAATTGGCAGAAGAGCGAAAGTGCGGAAAGCCCTGGCAGCCCGGAGAGCCCACAGGCCTACTCGGCGAAGAGCTTGGTCAAGGAATCGATCTACCGAACAGACTACCGTCATGGGAAATCACCAGAGTTGGATCCTCACCTGGAAAGCTTCCGGCCAGTGATTTCGCCTGCATTTCTTTCAAAGTGTTGGGCTTGAGGTGAGGCCTTTTGGTGAGGCGTTTGAGTCCGCTTGGAGGCAAAACGCCTTCGACTGAGGTGGCATTGCCTGGGAAGACCTGGAACACCGAGCTTTGGATGGCCAGGGCCAGGGCCACCGGGGCCACCGGGGCCACCGGGCCTTAGACCCCGGCTCTCAGTCTCTCGCCCCACTGAAGCGAGGAATGTGCAGTGCGTCTCGCGCATAGCTCTCTGAAAGAGAGCATGGGAATGAGAAGCCTTAATTCGGTTTCACCGGGTACATTTGAGTACTTGGCACGGCAAGTCAACGTTCAGGCATGTCTTCTCGACTTGTGGTTCCTGGCGAAAAGTGAAGAGGATCTCTGCAGCCCGTATCGTGGCTTTGCGTTTGTGGTGAAAAGGTGATCTTGCTTGACCCACAGTTGCGTCTTGACCTCAGTGCTCTGCTCTGCTGCTCTGCTGCGCCTCGGGCTCGGTCGGCTCCCGACTCCCTAGGCCCTGCGCTGGGAGGCGTGGGCCAAATCGGAATCCTTGGAGAGGCGTGCCTCGCGGCTATCGAGAGAGGGAGAAAGGGAGAGAGAGCCACTTTGCGGCCTCTTTCAGGGCTTGGCAAGTGGATACCTTCGTTTGCCCCAAGAGACGAAGACGCGCTTCATCAAGACTCCCGAGGCGCGGCGCGGTCGGCGTTCTTGGCTGGGAAAAGATGACAGATTGCAGTGATTGCAGACGCAGAGTGCGGAGGCCATCCGTGAGGTTCTTCCCCAATGCGGTCCGATTACGTACCTGACGGGGGATGTTGGGCGCTACTGCCAGGACGGCCTGGCCGGGGAGTCCCTAAGTGCCTAAGTTCATCCCATCCCGCCAGAGGATGACATTCTCGAGTTCGTGGGACGCCTGGACAGTCAGGTGCACCAGAGAAGCAACGAACCAGGAAATTATGCTGGGCCTTGGCATTGGCTGTCCTTGAAGCGATGGCTGGTGCAGCGAAAATCCATCATTCGGGTACTACTGGCATCGCTGAAGAACAGAGACCCCACTGGAACCCATGCCAACAGACAGACTCACGAAATGTGAGTCGAACGCTCAGATTCGGCCAACTGTTAGACTTAGACACCGTCATGGTCGTGACATCGAGGAACAACATGGAATGAATGGAATGGATCACCTGGAGACGCTTTTCTTCTTTGCCCTGGGGAGGTGAAGCTGCGCGGCCAGCGCGTGGAGCTCGGCGAGATCGAGGCGGCGCTTTTGTCGGCCAAGGCCGTCACCGAGGCCCGGCCCTCCCACCCTTAAGCCTTAACCCTGGGCCCTTCCGCCCTTAAAGAGAAGCGCTGGCTGCTGCAGCTGCTGCGGGTCGCAGGCAGTGGCGCTGGTACATGGGGACCGGCTCATCGGATACTTCTCGACCTTGCAGGCCACGGCGTGAAAACCCGAAACGTCGAGAGCAGATGTTCCCAGGGTGTGGAGGAAGGTGATGCGGCGGCCTTCTCGGAGAGGCCCCAGGCTGGGCCAGGAGCCGCATAGACAAAAATCAGGTCGCGCAGTGCATGGACAAAACCCGGCAGCGGTTGCCAAGGCGCAGAGTCGGCGTAGATTTGACAAAACAAAAGCTGGCTACGTGAGTACTCTTCCGCTGGGCAGGTACATGTGGCCTGAGCTGGTCCATGTCAAGGAATGGCCCAGGGGCCGCACGGGCAAGGCCGTTTCTCAGACTGCTGCCGGCTGCCAGTTTGGTCTTGTCTGGTCTGCAGGTGGACCGCAAGGCATTACCGGTGCCGACGATATGCGTGCAGGATGCGGTTCCCCCAAGGCGCCCCCTGTGCTGCTTGCGGCTCCTGGCTGTCGTGAAATCTCGTGATTGCGCTCGTAGGTCTTCCCTGGAAAAGAAGATCCTGGAGATCTTTTGCCAGGCGGCCGGGCCATTCCGCGGGCGGCGGGCCATGCCGTGAAGATGTCGTAGCTGGCGCTGCGCTGGTGGCTGGCAGGCATTGAGGCGAGACCCGGCGCTCACTTCCGTCCACTCGGACTTCTTTACGCTGAGACCTTGGTACATGGATGTTGTACAATATGTCCTCTCATGATTGCTTTCTTCCAAGGTTGGGGGGCACATCTCTCAAAGCTGCAGCTTTGCTGTCTGCTTTGAGAGCTCAGGTGCCGGAGGCCGATTCATTGAAGTTCTGGGCCGTAACGCATTGAGCAAAAACTTCTCTCCTCCGACTCACGCGAGGCGGTGGCACTCCAGTTCGACGAGCTCTATGCTCATCCGGACGTGGCCAGCCTGGCCCAAGTGCTTTCTGGCAGCCGCCAGGTGTCGCCTGGCAGAGACTCGTGTGCTGCCCCACTCCGGCTGCAGCCGCAGGAGATTCTCCTGAGTCCGGCTCCAGTCGAAGGGCTACTGCCGGCTTCCTTGGGCCAGGAGCATATGCCACTTGGCTGGGCCTAAGCGCGTTTGATCAAGTTTTTTCGTCCTTGGTGAAGAGTTCGTAGTTCGCAGCGTGTTCTCCCGGCCCGCCGGCGTGATCTGATCTGAGGCTTGTGTTGCAGGAGTTGCACGAGGGCAGCTCGGCCTACAACTCACCGCTGATCCTGAAGCCGCGCCCCCGGCGCCAAGGAGCACACAGCTCGGCGCCTTTCAGAGGGCTTCAGAAAGAGTTGAGGTTGGAGGGAGCCTGTAACCGCTCTGCGCTGTCTGCTGCGCTGGACCGGGTCATGGGCCACAGCTGCGCACCGCTGGGAATTGAAATTGCTGTGATAGTGCTTGCGCTTCTCAAACTCAGAGGTCATTGCGAGGCGGACGAGTCCTTCACCTCACTTCACTTGCCCCCAGTTCCCAGTGTCCCTTCGTCTGCCAAGCAGGCACGACGTCTTGCGGAGCAACCTCGTGCGAGACACGATCGACGGTGAGCCTGCAGTCGTCCAGGCTTGCAGCCTGCAATGGCCAACGGTGCCTACTGCCCGGAGTGAGTGTTCTGCAGGTGACCACTCCTGCAGCTGAATTTCAGTGCGACATGGAGTTCTGGGACATCCCTGAGCGAAGCTTAGAGCGAGTCCGTCGACTCATTCGACGCTCTCCGCCCTGGCCTGGTCTGCCATCAGGATGACACTGCACAGCAGCCTCAGCGACGCCGGCTTCGACGCAGTCACACGACCCTCGGATGCAGGTGGCGGTGCATGGAAACCTCAGGGATGTGTTTGGAGCTTGAGGCTGGGACCCAGCCGGCATGTCGGAGCTGCTGGGCTGGGCGGCTGGGCACTTCGCTTTTGGTGCACTTCTGTGACGATGCACTTCGTGTCCGTGATCCGATCCTCATCGCCCCATCGCCCCATCTGAAGTCGCAAGAGGGTTTCTTTACCGTGGGCCAGGAGCCCCTGGAGCCCCTGGAGAGCAGCGAGCGAGAAGTGCGAGCTCTTTCCAACTGAGCTCATGGCCGGCTTCTCACAGAAACGCCCGAGACATCCGACTCGAGAGATCGGCCTTTTCAGGTTGGGCATCGGCACGGACCGTCCTGGCTCAGGCTCTGAGCTGCTTCGAGTCCCAGGGGGTGCAGATGGTGTGGATTTTCCCCTTCCATACATACTCTAGATGCTCTTAACGACTGCTGTATGCTACTGACATTGCGCTCAAGTCCCCGCTGAGAAAAGGTCCAGCCAGGCTTCAAAAGTAGGTGCTGTGGCACCAGGTTGCGGTTCTACTCCCAATGGAGATTTTCCTCGAACTCATGACCGAGATATTCTAGCATTCTAGGAGCTGTTCGCGATTCGGGTCGAACGATGTCCTAAACTCTGCGGCTGCGAACTCATGCTGCTTGGCAGCGTTTTCAAACGATGCGGCACACGTGCTTAGCTCAAGGTTGAGGCTTAGGAGATGGTTTGCAGCTGGTCCGAATTCTGTCACACTTCGTCTCGGCAGTGCCTGAAAACCTGGCGCTGAGATTGCTCTCGCAGACAATTTGTGCGATGCAAACTAAGTTCCGTGTTGAGCTTGGCCACCGAGACCTCAGTGCTTTCCCTGATGAAGGACAGTGTTTGCTCGCGGGGATTTTCGGTAACCGTATGAAGATAAGAGTAGGGCCAAAATCGCCGAGCCCGTGAAGCTCCCGGACTTTCCCTCACTGTGGCACTATGGGTCATGAAAGATCTCGGGTCGTGAGGCGGTTAGAGTAATTGCAGACAAACCGGATGAGGCTTTCAAGTGGGTCCAGGAGCTGCGCGAACGCGCCCTCGGAACCATGAAGTTCCTGCAAAGTCCGGTGACCCGAATCTGGAAGCAATCGCTAAGGCTATAAGAAGATACCCTCAGGTCACGTGACCCTCATCGCTGCAAATGGTCTTGGGTGCCATTGGGGTAGAAAATTCACGGTATCTTGGAGGTGTGCTTTGACTTTCTACGCCGCTTTCCCCGCTGCCCGCATTGCCCTTGGAGGGGATCTTGGTGGTGTTCGGCCTCCTGAGTGGTCGGCCGGTGGGCATTCATGGGGATTTGCTTTTAAACGTTTCCCAAGCTGGTGCGCGAAAGACAGTTTTTTGATGCGTTTTTTCACCACGACCCGACGAGTTGCGACGAGAATCTGGGCAGGAATGCCGAACCGCGCGCCATGAGCCCTCGCGACTGCCGCGCGGTTTCCCCTTGTTCTTTCTCTAGTTCGCAACTCCTTCAAAGATACTTGTCTGTCAATGTGTGTTGCGCGGTCGTAAACCGCCAAGTCGAATTTCAATCTGCCGGAATTCCGGAGCTCACGCGTCGCGCAAGGTGGTTTCCCTTGGGTTGATAATCGAAGCCCGCAATGACCGCTTCCCAACTGCGGATGGGAGGGCTAAGGTCATCCCCATTCACTCGAATCTTCAGGCGGTCCTCTACATGTTGAAGAAATGCTCGAACAGCAGTAGACCCAAAACAGCCTTCAGGCCTTTGGTGTAGGAGCTGCGCTAATAGAAAGAGGGACTGCATTCCTGCAGCGGTTGCAAAAAGCACACCATCCTCGACACGTATAGTTGCATTTGACCTTTACCCGCAACCTCGTGCCGTCGACAGCTGACTCGGTCTCGAGTGCATCATTGATGTCTCGCGGCCTTGGGTCAAGAGACTTGAAGTTATGCCACTTCTCAACGCCAAGATGTGATCTGTCGGAGCCAAGGACGCCAGGCTAAGGACAACGAGAATGGTAAGCAGCGAGCTACATCTCCAGCGAATCCGAAAAGGCAAGAAGAGGGAGGGGGTTCTAAGAAAAAACAGCATGTTGTAGTTGGGTGAGCCTAGCCAGGGCTGTGGGCAAACGTTTGCGCTGGCCGCCCGCAAGGGTGAAGCCGGTCAGGCGAGGCCTTTGCAGTTCGTTGACGTCCCGATCACACCCGCAGTTGGCTCTGGTGGTAAGAATTGCATGGAGTAAGGAATTCCTTCCGTCCGAGATTTTTGGCGAAAAGCTGGCGTGCCACACCAGCAGCAGGGGAACAATGCACTTACAGGTTCGGCTTGGCGGCTGAAGATGAAGATGATGCCATAGACAAGATGGTTAAAGCGATTCCTCCCATTCCAGGGATTGAAGTCGGTTGGACTGTCATTGGTGCGAACCCCGCTACAAACAAGACCTTTCACTCCGGCTCCAAAGTTCCCACGGCATCGTGTTCGCACGACTTGGGGGTTCAAGGATCAAGACTGGAAATTGTTGGGAGCCTTTGTGAACATAGCTGAGTTGGAAGGCATGTATGGGAACTACTTGAAGAAATTGTTGCGAAGTTACTATATTCGCTTTATTCGAGAGTGGAGCGGAAACCCAGCCGACAGAAACGATGTCGAACCGCTCTTTATACTGGGCACATGCTTTCCCATAGGCCGAAACCCTTTTGACCCGTCTGCCAACGAGCTGAGATTTGTGCTCCCCAAGCCAGAAAATCTGGTGGTTCGTCGGCCGTTCACAGCAAAGGACCTGGAGATCACATTACAGTTGACCGTGTCGTCACTCGCGATGCCAAGGACTACGGATTTCAAGATAAGACGGCAGCCCATGTGGTGAAGGGCGTATTTGCGAGGCTTAGGTGCGTCTATCACGCTCAGACGAAGTCTGGAGAACAACGCTATGAAGACAGTTCATTAATCTTTGCTGTGCAATCACTAAGCGACGACATTAAGCAACATCGTTAGCAAATGAGAGCTACCCGGCTCGGAACGCACAGTCGATTGTTCAGAACTTTCCTCAGGGATTTTGCCGTCAGTTTGCAGCCTTTGCCAGAGCACAAGTTTGTGGACAACGGTTCTTGGCTAAGGCCAAGTGTGGGGCATTGGTTCGTATGTTTTCACGAGGGCGTCGAATGCGGTCTGCATTCAGGTGGCCCAATGATTCTACCATGGAAAGTTCGACGTAACAAGCTGTGCAAAATGATTGCACATCTGGCAGCTGGCAGGCGAAAATGAAGAATGATCGAGTGAGCTGAGTCATTGTGGCTACTTGTAGCCTGTTGACGAAGCGTTGACGTGTCACTTGTATGATTGCCGTCTTGTCTCATCTCAAGTTTTTGTGGGGTCTTGGCCAATGCCAACTGTGGGGCATTGATTCCTATGTTCTCACGAGGCCGTTGAATGCGGTCTGCATTCAAGTGGCCCAATGTTTCCACCGTGGAAAGTTCGACATACCAAGCTGTGCATAACGATTGCGCGCCTGGCAGGCGAACGTGAAGACTGTTACAACGGGGTGGCGAGAACGCTAAGTTCCACAATGGTTGGTGACCTTGCCTGATAGATCCAATGCTGGTAAATTTACTGAACAAACCAATCTACCAGCATTTTGTATCGTAAGTTTTATACGGTGCAAAATTTGGTGTGTAGATTTACTGACCATGGTCGGTAAAGTTTTCCTGCACAACAGGCTTCAAAAATGTATACATTTTGTGTTTTATGGAAATGTTTTCAAAAGGAAGGTGCACCTCTACAGAGACATGGATATAGAATATATATATATATATATAGTTTTGTATATGTATATATACACATATACATATGAGAGAGAAGGCTTGATCGCGGGATTTTCGCATACACGTGTACAGATTGGAGATCGTGCAAGAGGACCGTATAGTATATATATATATATATATATATATATACATACATACATATATGGAGAGAGAGAGAGAGAGAGGAACAGGAGAAAGTACATGCGTATATATATATATATGTATGTATATATACTTCTATCTATATATATATATATATATACATATACATACATACATATGGAGAGCTTGTGGAAAGGGCTGGATGGCCCGATTTTCCTGCAAGTGTACAGAAATGGATGGTGTGTATATATATATATATAGTAGAGAAGACCCAAGGCAGACGTATGCAGCTCGTGGAAAGAGGTGGATGCCCCGATTTTCGTCCCCGTGTATTTCGAGAAATTGATAGTATGTATATATATGGGTATAGTATCTTTAAGAGTTCTGTGTCGGTCCTAGTATGTATATATACCTATGCACCTATGTACCCATATACCTAAATACCTACGTACCCGTAGACCCATTTACCTGTTCTCCTATGTATGTGTTACGCGAAGACATGCAGCCGCTGGCTGGAGACCCCGTCTTCTCCTCCCTTTGTTGGCAGGTTTCACACCATGGGCCTGGATAGCTTTAGGAAAGGCATCAAGGAAGAGTTCTTCGAGTCTAGCTCAGCTTTTCAAGTCCATATTCAGCACAAGGCATTGGATACAGGAACTTTAGTGGATTCGCCAGCTTTGCGAGCATTGTGTGTGTTCATGCACTACAAGCTTGCTCGGGCACACCGGTGTTCTGCATGCAAGAGCGGATGCATTTTGATTCAAAGTAGGTGTGACGGGCTCAAGTGGATTTGCGAAAAAAACCGGAGCCAGACACACTTCAAGAAGGCGGTCACAGTCCCCGCGGTTTTTTTCCTTCGCCCCAAGAGCTGGATGCCATTCATGCATTTCTTGGTCTATATGAAGAACAACTACAAGATGGCTATTGTTGAGAAGGAACTTAAAGCAGGTCATGGAACTCCAAAACTTTGTCTCTACAGATGGCAGAAGCAATACCATGCTGCCATCAAGAAGTATGTGGATGAAGAGAAGATTAATCGTGTAGGTGGACCCATGCATGTCTGTGCAGTGGATGAAGCTCACGTAGGCAAGCTGGGCTACATGGTGGGGAAAAAGGCTACCAGTGGTGGCCAATCCAAACTGGTGTGCATAGCAATGATGCAGAGTCTGAGGTGGCACGATACAAGAAGTGGCATCGTTCTAAGTGGACATCGGTCCGCACATTGAACACAAAGGACCAGGCAAAGAAGCAAAACAATCTGGAAGGTAAGATCTCTGAGTATGTGTTGCAGACAAACACAGGGGATGCTATGCAAGTGGACATGGCAACAATCATGCAGGCACTGTCCAAGTTGACCGGGGAACAAACTTGGCAGCCAGTTTCACTGCTGTGACGCCGGGCCCGACATGTGCAAAAACGTTGTGTTTGCATTGCAGAAACTCTCAAACCTTGAAACTCTTAAGGATACTATAATGTATATATATACATATATATATATACATATATATATACATATATATATACATATATATATACATATATATAC